GCACTGACAAAGGGGGGGGCAGTGCAGGTGGCCCGAGGGGTGTGGCGATGGTGATTGGACCATGGTGGTGAGGTACAGCCACAGCTTGGCATGCAAGCAGCTGGCGGCAGGAGGAGGTAAGGGCAATGCAACCCACCCCTCTCCTTCCCAGTCTGTTACTCCTTGTGCTGTTGGTGGCACTGCTGGTGTGGCTGGTGATGGTGGCAACAAGTTTCATTGCCCTGCTCTGCCCTACTGTGCTGGGTCTCACCTGCTGGGCTGTGGAGGCAGCTCCTGCTCCTGCCCCTGCCAATCCAGCCAGGCTACAGCTCTGCACCCCACTGTGGACACAAAACTGGGGGGCCACATTCTCCACCCATTCCCTGTCCAGCACATTACCTCTGGCTCCCAACCCCTCCCCGAGAGTACACGCAGCAGCAGGGAGCCACTCCTCCTCTCCAGGGACAAGCCACCCATGGGTCATCCCACTTGTCAAATGGGCCCCATGGCCACGCATTCCTGAACCAGCCAGGGCCTGCACACCACTTCAGCTGGGCAGCTCACCCAGCCCCAGCCGCCAACCCTGCCCCACTTCTTCCCTCACCGTGGCTGCCACTACCACCTCAGTCTGCCCACCCCCCCCAGCCTCCTGCTTTGCTTATCTCCCCCTGCTCCCCCACGTCTCACCTGTGTCCCCCCATAGACTTACCTGCAGGGAGCTGTGGAAACTGCTTTCCACCACACCACCTGGCTGCCACGTGCATGTGTGCATGCACACATGTATGTGGTGCCCCCTGCTGTGATCGCCCTCCTCCCACTCCTCGCAGCCCCTTGCAGGCCAGAGCTCTGCCAGCCTGCAAGGGGAAACCTGCTTTTCCCCTTCATTTTTCTCCTTTAAAGGAGAAAATCCATGTTTTTCCACACCAAACAGAAAACCAGATCCCTGTTTATCAATAGTGAGGAGAGTTTGTGAAATGGAGACCACTCACTGAAAATGGAGAAAGTGCTGTTGGAGAAAGACACAGAAGTGTTCATTTCCTGAAGTACTGTACAAAAGACTGGGATAATCAAACAAAGAGTGAAATCAGATTGACTACACAGCATGGAAATTGGATCCTGACACACCTGGTACAGGAAAAAGAGTCTACATCTGGGGGAGTGACTCCATTGTGAAACCCTGAGTATTTCAGACTTCCACCCCCTTCCCAGGAGAGCTCACCAGCTGGGAAATGGGGGAAGAAAATGGTGTTGTGGATTCAACTGCTAAGTAGGAGGCTTGAGCATCTGGGAATCTGGGAAGTTAAATGAATTGCAGCTGTGGGTCTGAAGCCAGAGATGGCTCTGGCACTGCTCTGCTGGGAACCAGAAATTCAAGAACAGGTTTCCCCATCATAATTTCCACTGCTAGAGCTGACAGCTGCTGTAGGGCTGACAGCATGCTTGTCATTTCTTTTACTAGGGAATTAGGGTTAAGAGGTTGAGGTCTTAAGGCCTTGTGCCAGTCCATGGTGAATGTCACTAAATGGGAACCACACTATAATTCTACCCTGTGGTAATATTTATGTTAATAGTACTCCTAGCCCATGTGGAAGACTCTACATTGTTTAGTTTATTATTCAAACTCTTTGTGTGCATGACTGTGTGCACGCACATGCATGTACACATGTAGACAAATACCTGCTTAGATAGCAGTAAAATTTCAGGTTTCTTGAAGCACAAACCTCTCAATTATTTTAGGGCTTGGAGCTTTTCCAAACCCTTACGACTAAATTGCAGGTTCAGTGCATGAGTCTTTCAAGGTTTGTACTGCCCTGTTTTTCACTCACAAGAGGAATTTCTGAGGAAAGTCTGAGTTCCTGAGGACTGCTTGGGTTATAATGGAGCCACTGTGCACTCCAACAGTAAGGTACAGCATTTAAAAATAATTTTAAATATAAAATAAAAAAAATTAACAAATGGTAAAAATAAATAGAAAATAAAATGTTGCTGCTATCTCTGTTGTTGTAAACAAGAACAGATGTATGGTAATTGGAGAAGGATCCTGTAAAATCAAAAATGAGGATGTTTTAGGTTTGTTAAAGGAAACTGGAAGTTTTCCAGACAGGACCTAAGAAATTTTCTCTGACTCTTCGGAGGCACATGTGCAATATCTTTGGCCACAGGTTTACAGGAGTGGCATCTCAGCCCTTTGTAGAGTATCAAATGCCTTTTCATTTAGAAGCAATTAACTATGGCCATTGTGTCTTGGTTTAACTTGCTACTGTATGCTTGGCCAACTGCAAAGGGAAGATCTATATCTGCTTCATGAATGTAAAGAGGGAGTATGTTTTGCTCCATTGCGGTAGACTGTCTTGCCCCTTGGTAAGTAAATAATCAAGCTTTGCTGTTACTTGAATTAATGCAATGCAAGTAACATTTGTATCATGAGCTGAAAGCAGAGAAGGGTCTTGACAGAGACTTGCTTTCTTTTGTTTTAGGCATTCATAGGATGAAGTTGAAATAGTTAGGTCTTTCCCTGTGGTTGGTTAGCTACATGTAATATAAACTTGCATGCTAACACTCTCAGCTCTAATTTATCCTTTTACAGACACAATTTAAGAAACATTTTATGCATGAAACTGTTGCAAAGTAATGTTAGCACTTCATAAAACTGCATAAATCTCAGAAGCTGTAGAAATGTTTCTGAAGTCTCCTGTGGGTGTTCTGCATCAGCATGCAGGCAGAACATCAGAATGCCGAGGAGTTAACAATAAGTTTATAGTGTAATTTGAATCAATAGCTGATTATTCAAAGAAAAAGATCTGCTAACTATGCAGAAGTTTCAAGCTTACAAATTGCTGAATAGTCTGATTATCATAATGGCTTGTTACACCCAGGAAATCCATGCCAGGCCTGAACAAAACCTATTGCTGTTTTCCTTTGGGGGACAAAGCATTTAATGCTATCCATCCACAACTGAAAGGTGGAAAAGGGACTTGCCTGTAGCACCTTCTGGTGAAGTGTGGAACAATTTGACTAACACCCATCATGTGATGTTTTAGTTACTTAAAGAAATAAATGTGTGTATATATAAAAAACACTAAAAAAGTTGAATGAGGTGAGCTTTTTTTATCCCATTCATACTTCATTGCTTTTGTAAGATGTAACTTCTGGCCTTTAAAAATTAAACCGTGAGGGTTAGGTTTTGTGGGGTTTCTTTTACAAATGTTACAAGAGATCACTGATATTGAACTACTTGTTACCAACTCTCACCTGCAACTATTAAAATGATCCACTTCTACCTAAACCACTTTTATCTAGAAACACCAGCCTTCCTAAACTTTGAAAAGTAGGGAGTGCCAGATAAATAGGACTGAGATTCAACAGAGCCATAATTTACAAAATCAAAGGCAATCAGTTTAGCTTGTCTCTTGGCCAATTATTAGAAATCTGGTATTTTCATGTTACAAAGACTTTACTGCGTTAATGAAATCTAAGAAGTGCCTTGTTTATCACTCGACTTGAAAACTGAAATACAAAAATGTAAGTATAGCACTTCTGTGAATGCTTTACATGAAAACAAATAAAAGATTTTTAATTCCTGTGCATGAGAGAACAGGGCATGGGAAAGAAAGGAAGAAATTCTAGCACCACATATATTGGAGACAAAAAGGAAAGGTAAGTTGCTTCCAAATCTGAGGGGAAGGTGTCTGTCCGTGGCCTTAATTAGATTTGGACATCCTGAAATCACTTAATTTATGAAATTCCAGTGTGCATTAAGAATAAAACATTGTAATCTAAATATATTGAACATAAGACAGTGATAAAACAGTTTGTGCTTTGCCACATATCACACATTCAGTTGTTCTCTGCATTTCAAGGGAGCAATGCGGCGGGGAGGCAGTGTTTGACCACTGGATATCCATGGGGTTCAAAAAAAAAAACGTGCAAAAGAAAAAGCGGAACAGCACACATGGGGCCAGAACACACAGCTCAAAACCGGAGCCTGGATGGCCAGAGCCATGCTCTGGCTGCCAGCCTGGCTCTGAGCAGCATGATTGCTGCTGCTGCAGCCCCCTGGGTTCCTGGGGGCCTCGTGTAAGTGCACGGAGCTGGCTGGCCCCAGCCTCCCCTACCCCACCCAGGGGAACCTGCCATGCACCACAGGACTCCTGGCACAGGCATTCCCGAGGGACAACTAGCAGCAGCACAAGGTGTCCACCTGCTAGCTGTCCCTGGGGAACCAAACGTCCATGCTCACCTGGATGTGGCCACTGGAACTAACTGCTTCTTACTGGGAGCAGGCGCATTTGTATCTTTTAAGATCAGAAAATATTTTGCTAATGACCACAATGAGCCATAGGAACTGACCTATGGTTTAGGGGTTTATCAAATGAAGATATTAAAAAGGAGCAGCTTACTAACGGGGAGAGAGAGAGTACTACCGAGTGATCAGGAGAGCAGGTTGCAAGTGTTTTTCCATGAGATTTTGTTTCATCTAAATTAAAATGTTCTGCAGGATAATGAACAATTCAACTGAGTGTTTCAATTTCCCAATCAAAACATGCAAATGAAACAAAATGTTGTTCCAAAATGATATTTCATGACATAATGACAGTTTGTTCATTCAGAAGCTCTTCTGGCCAGACAATTTAAGGAGGGGACTTTTTCCCATTACATGTTCCAAAGAAAACACTTGGGTTTTTCTGACTTTTTGTTTTTTTGTTTACTGGTTGAACACTAACAGATATTCTTTAGCTAGTATAACAAGAGATTTGGTCACTATGTCCTTTTCTGCTTAGCAGGGGACAGGTTTGATTATCCTTTCCTAACTCATCCTAATCTTCAAAGCAGGTAGTTTTATGTGTATTAACTTGCAGCTTTCTGCCCCACCCTGGGTTTTCTTTAATGTGAAGAAAATAATCAGCTATTTGTCCTGAAGACTGTTACTAACCAAAGCCGGTTAAGGCAAAAATGTAAAGACCAGAGACTCCTCTGTAATTTCAGCATCTGTGTGGTTTTAAGAAGCAGAATGAAGCATTCTTCCCTATTTCTAGTCATGTGACTGCAGGAATGTTTCTTTTTTTCTTTTTTCTTTTTTTTTTACCTTTGCTTAAAAGGACCTTCAGTGTTCTTATGAGATTTGAAGTATTAGTCCCTAATACTTAGTCTCCCAAGTGACATCTGGGAGCCATTTCCAGCAACACGATAGGCTCTGAAACTTTTGTGTTGCTGGATATCTTTGTTTGCCTGCTTGTTCTTTATGGAGGAAGGGAGATAAGATGATCAAGTTTAGGCAGATAATGTAGTATTCCCCCTCTTGCAGTATTGCTAACCCCATTGTGACAAAAATCATGAGACACTCTTAAAAAATCAGTAGATTGGTATGTAAATCATGGTGCTATTTTTAAAGTGTGTGTGGGGGGTTATTTGAAGGTGTCGGGGGCTGTGGGTCTGTGTGTGGGGTTTGGAGCCTGGGGAGGGAGGGTCCTGGCAGGATGTGGGATACTGTGGATCAGGAAGTGAGAGGCAGCAGCAGGGCTGGTGGGGCTGTGGCTTGGGAGTGAGGGGCAGGCACACAGAGACATAGCATCCAGCTGGTAGGTTCATTTTATCTCCTGCTCCTTTTACCTCTGTGGAGCAGAGTTAAGTTATCCTAACACTGACTAGGTAGCACATCCCAAAGTTAACTGTCACTTGAAGTGGCATAACTTTGAGATACTTGGAGGGGCCTTGGGACATATAGCACAAGTTAATGAGTATTAACATGCTGACATTAAAAGTAATACTCCCTTTTAAGTGCCTTTGGTATGCTCTACGTGTAACTTTACCCTAAGTGAGGGGTAGGCAAGCCCCAGCATTGGTGCCAGAGCATGGCACGTGAAGGCATTTTGCTTCGCATGCATACCTCAGGGTGGGGGCTGTGCTGCCAAAAAGGATCAGGCCCCTCACAGCTCCTCCATTGCCTAGCGTGTCAACATCTTACAAGTTGAGGTTGCAGGTGTTTTTTGACACCCTGCCCAAAAAAGTTGCCAACAACCCCTGCCCTAAGCCATCTCTGGGGGCCGTCATCAAGTTTGGTTGTGAGCTAGAAAGCTCTAAATAGCCTGAGACTGCCTTGTTATAGGGATTGCCTCTCTTCAGGTGCCCTTACAGCTGTGGTCAGCAGGGACATTTGTTCACAATTTCTCTCATGTTATAAAAGAGAAACATTTCCTAGCCTGATGATGGTGTTTCCTTCCCTTCACAACAGTAATGGGGATAAAAGGAGTTTCTTTGGGTTTCTGACTAGTTCTCTTTGATATACTGCCAGGGTTTTATAGTATCATTATGACATGTGAGGGAGTGTAGGTCTGGATTTTTAGAGGTGTGTGGTGCCTCCTGTGCTAGGTACGTGAATGCCTTCCAAAAATCTGTAGTAGGTCAGTGTGTTACATGGCAGCATTTCAAAGCAACCCAGTCAGCCAGAACCGTAGAGAAACTCCCCTTTACTGTTGTGGGAAGTGCTGGGCCCTGGATGCTCAGAGAGGAGTCTTTTAAAAAAATAAACTTTAAAAATCTAAATTAAAATACAATAATTACTGTTACGTGGTTGGACCGGTGGTCAGGGGGTAGGATGTTTCCGTGTCAGTAATATGCTAAACAACATTGTGTGAGTGCTGCCATAGTAGGGGAGCCCGAAATAGGCTTCAGCCAGGGAGACCCAACAAACATGTAAAAGCTCCTCCCAAATTAAAAACAAATTCATAAACCAAAGCCCTCCTTTTGGTTTCTGTTATTTCTGATTATCCAGTCTTTGGGATGGCTTTTTCCTTGCTTTCCCTTAAACTGGGATTGTTTTACTTGGCAAAGAAAAGTCTTTGTTTCTAGTTTTATCTTCTGGAGGGGGATGAGGGTACAGTTCTATGAACAGCTCAAGACCTGGGTTACAGAGCATCACAAAGTGATGCAAGTGTAAGAACAAATTTTTTAAACCCCATTTTATGCAGAGTGGAGTTCTGATGGGTCTTAAAGGGGAACTGTAGTGTATGGCCACTTATGTATGTGATGGGAGTTTAGTTCCCTAAATTGAAACGGTGAGTTTTTAATTGCAGTGATTAAAATCCTACCATTTCAATTTAGGGGCTTCTGTCACTGTTACAGTGAGGGTTCTGATCTGATTCTCTGCAGTGGCGGTGCTCCCTGGGCCGCCTGGGTAGGATGCTAGCTGCTCAGGGCCTCCCCCAGCTCGCAGATACCTGCTAGATCCAACTCTTCCCCGAGCCTACCCACTGGAAGCCCACCAGGCGCTGTTCCCTACACAGGCTCAGGGAAGAGTTGGATCCAGCAGCTGCTGCCTGCGGGCTGGGGCACCACCCGCGCAGCTGGCATCCTGCCCAAGTAGCCCTGGGAGGTGCTGCCACCGTGGAGGGAACTGGGGGCTCCCACAGCTTAGAGTCTGCACAGTCCTGTGGCAGCTCATGCAAGCAGGCTCTGCTGGAGTGGTGGGGAAGTGGTGAGAGGCCTGATCCTTTTTTCTTTTCTTTTTTTTTTCCTTGAAGAGCCTGCCCACATCTACCGCAGCTGGGGGGGGCGAGCTGCCACCAAGCCCTGAGCTGCAGGGGGCCCCGGACCTTCCCTCAATGGCGGCGGTGCCTCCCGGGGCCACCTGGGTGGATGCTACCCTTGCTCACAAGTAGCACCAAGCCCAATCTAGCTGATCCTTGAGCCCTAGCTGGGGCAGCACCCACTTGCTAGCCACTCTCGCAGGCAGCCCCAGGGGGCACTATTGCTGTAGAAGGAAGGACCGGGGCTCTATGCAGCTCAGGAGCCACTTGGCCCACCAGCAGCTCACCCTCCAGGCCATGGGAGATGCGGCAGGCTCCATGGAAAAAAAAAAAAAAAAAAAAAGGATCGGCCCCCCCACC